GTGTGTGTTCTCTGGTGTATTATAAGAGCAGATGACTTTGCAAACGCCTTCTCACACACACTGCACTTGAAGGGTTTCTCTCCCGTGTGTGTTCTCTGGTGTGTTACAAGAGTAGATGAAAGTGCAAACGCCTTCCCACACACACTGCACTTAAAGGGTTTCTCTCCCGTGTGAGTTCTCTGGTGTTTTACAAGAGTAAATGACTTTGCAAACGCCTTCCCACACACACTGCACTTAAAGGGTTTCTCTCCTGTGTGTGTTCTCTGGTGTTTTACAAGAGTAAATGACTTTGCAAACGCATTCCCACACACACTGCACTTAAAGGGTTTCTCTCCCGTGTGTGTTCTCTGGTGTGTTACAAGAGTAGATGAAAGTGCAAACGCCTTCCCACACACACTGCACTTGAAGGGTTTCTCTCCCGTGTGTGTTCTCTGGTGTGTTATGAGAGAAGATGACTGTGCAAATGCCTTTCCACACACACTGCACTTGAAGGGTTTCTCTCCCGTGTGTGTTCTCTGGTGTATTACGAGATGATATAAAACAGAAAATGCCTTCCCACACAGAGTACACTTGAAGGGTTTCTCTCCCGTGTGTGTTCTCTGGTGTATTATAAGAGCAGATGACTTTGCAAACGCCTTCTCACACACACTGCACTTGAAGGGTTTCTCTCCCGTGTGTGTTCTCTGGTGTGTTACAAGAGTAGATGAAAGTGCAAACGCCTTCCCACACACACTGCACTTGAAGGGTTTCTCTCCCGTGTGTGTTCTCTGGTGTGTTACAAGAGTAGATGACTGTGCAAACGCCTTCCCACACACACTGCACTTGAAGGGTTTCTCTCCCGTGTGTGTTCTCTGGTGTATTATAAGAGCAGATGACTTTGCAAACGCCTTCTCACACACACTGCACTTGAAGGGTTTCTCTCCCGTGTGTGTTCTCTGGTGTATTTTAAGATCAAATGACCGTGCAAATGCCTTCCCACACACACTGCACTTGAAGGGTTTCTCTCCCGTGTGTGTTCTCTGGTGTATTTTAAGATCAAATGACCGTGCAAATACCTTCCCACACACACTGCACTTGAAGGGTTTCTCTCCCGTGTGTGTTCTCTGGTGGATCTGAAGAACTGATGGCCATGCAAACGTCTTCCCACACACACTGCACTTGAAGGGTTTCTCTCCCGTGTGTGTTCTCTGGTGCTGTGTCAATTTTCCAGTCGGATCCGTGCTGTATCCACGCTGGTCGCATTGTTGACTTGTCGTCCCAAGCTGTGCTGAGCGCCTTTGCTCCATCAGACCAAGCGACAGCTGCAGACAGAAAAAAATTATATCCACACCACCAACACGTCAGTATCGAGACACAGAGAAATAAAAAAACACAGTCACACGTGACTTACACGTCTATACTTATTCATATATTCATGATGCAGCGAAAAAGTTTCCTAAATTCATCACACGGGCTGCTATTGCACACAATGAGAGGGTGAATGGTCGTAAATATGCCTGGAAGCCCTCGTATCTTCTTAATGAATGTTAACCCAAAACTCCGAGCACACAATTTTGGCTGTCTGGCTACAAAAGAAATATTTATTAGAGCTAAATTCGGCTAACATAGCAAAGGGTGTTGGAAACAATCCTATTTGTGTTATGCAGAAATGCGTAAATTAATACTGGTAGGAACCTCCTGGTTACACCAGCCCACAGGGGATTGTTGTGTCCGTCGTGAAGGGGGGGGGCTGGGTGGAGAGGGTGGAGAGGGTGGGGAGGGGCTGGGTGGGGCTGGGTGGTGGGTGGGAGGGGTGGGGCTGGGTGGGGAGGGGCTGGTCACCCCGTGGTGCCCTTATAAAACTCAATGTTTAACCTACTCACGCCGGCTTGTGCCCGCCCTCACAGTCGGCATATGTGCGGAATACACCACGCCGCCGTTGACCCTGCAGGCCATTGAGCGAGCAACCCGACGTTCCTACCAGCTCCCTCCGCAGCAGCAGGAATGTTGTTCAGTGGCAACTTAGCGGTGTGAAGCCAGGCTCAGATGTCCTTGAATGATGGGATGAACAGATCTGACGTCAGCTGCTGCACGTGTGTGTGCTGTGCTAACTTCCTGTTTCCACTCTTATAAAGAGTTCCAGAGGAAAACTAAAATAAACTATTGTTTTGATACAACCTCCGTGTTCATCAGAGTTAATATACTTTACACTGTCACACACTGCCCGGTTTCTCCCTCCACATTCAGCGTCTTTGACAGACAGACATTGACACACGTAGTCTTGGTTCTTTCGGTAAAGTCACGTAGATAGGAAATAAAAATAACAGATCATGAAATTAAATTAAATAAACACCACGTGTGTTGCGATCGAAACGTCGTGGGTTTATTCTTTATTTGCAATTTTTTATTATATTTAACATTATTATCTGTTATTTTTTTAAATCTCCGTGACTTCACCGAAAGAACCAAGAATATGAATTGCTGCAGTTACGAAAGTTTTAAGTCAAAACATTGACACACGCGTTCACAAAACCCCACCCACCCACCTTGTTGTTGTTGTGGGCAGGTAGCTTCTGTAAACAAGAGCGGTACAGCAGCTCAAGCGGGCTTGGCCTGGTAAAAAAACGAAAAGAAAAACTGCGTTAATATCTACAATAAACCAAAGTGACAAAGTAGCGAGCCGCGTGAAGACAAATTAAACTTAAGGGAGGGAATTAAAGCAAACGCGACCAGGCGAGGGCAGGAGGCAAGGCCCCGCGTGTCTAGGCCCCGCGTTGTAAAGTTCCAACTTGGACATCGATTCACAAGCTGCTGCTGCTCTAGTGACATCCCTACGAGAGAGAGAGCGAGGCTCTAGCTTGGTAAACAACAACAACAACCACAACAACAACCACAACAACAACCACAACAACTGCGATGAGAATTTCTCACCTCGGATTTCACTGCACGCGCGAAGTTGCAGCCTGTGACGTCACGCGGCAGCAGGTGACATGACGTCACTCCCGGGGTACCAGCAACAGCCCCTCCCACAACGAGTGGCGACTCTAACGGACGTCATTAATACATTATGTTAATGTGTTGAGATCGAAACGTCGTGGGTTTTTTGCTTTAATAAATGACTTTACCGAAAAAAGCCTAAGAGTATGAATCATTGCAGTCACGAAAGCTTCAAATCTACAATTTAATAAGCGACTTTTTCCGAAAAAGCTTAAGAGTATGAATCATTGCAGTCACGAAAGCTTCAAATCCACAATTTAATAAACGACTTTACTGAAAAAAGCCTAAGAGTATGAATCATTGCAGTCACGAAAGCTTCAAATCGAGAATTTAATAAGTGACTTTACTGAAAAAAGCCTAAGAGTATGAATCATTGCAGTCACGAAAGCTTCAAATCTGGAACTCATCATGGATGTGGCTGAACGTCACCGTGTAGGAGCCCAGCGCGTGACACCTTCACGCGCTGGGCGAGTGGCGCAGTCTCGCTTCCCATGCGAGAGGTCGCGGGATCGATCCCCGCGTCCTCCACAGGCGAATATATTCTTAAATCCTTTATATTAAGTTCGCTTGCTTGCTTAGGACCGTGCAAATCTTTCGCTCGTTTTTTAACCCACTTCCCGTGATCCAATCGAGCTGACATTTTGCACACAGACTCGTTGTGCGAGACAATTAATGTTCGTGAAAAAAAAATGTCAAAAATTTTACACTGTTTAGGGAAAACAAATAAAATATTTTATTACCAATTGCTTAATGGTGCAATGCAATCATCTGACCCATAGGTGGCAGCCATCTCAAGCCAGAGGACGAGAGGACTCTAGCCGCCACGCATATAAAGGATTTAGAGTGAAAAACTTTGTTTTTACGGGTTGTTCTTATTTTACATTTATTCAAATAGAAAACGTTACACATTAATGAGTCCATTGGGCAAGGCACTGACCGCTTGATTGGGATTTGCTGTTTATTAAAAGAAACATTGTTGATCGACATTTTTGCTTTCATGGCTTTATTTTGGTGATTTCGAAAAGTGTATTGGTTTAGCCATGTTTGTTGTAGTACAGAGTTAGACTGATGGCCTTAATCTAAGTTGTCTTGTGGTTGTTGTTGTTGTCACATCTCTAACGTCTTAACAGGGGCTTCAAAACAGCAACATCGAGGACGACAAGAGGTCAAGCTGGTTCACCAATGTGAACGATGGACGTTACATTAAACAATTGATTTAAAAAAATATTCCTCGTGGATGATGCAGGAATCGATCCGGCGATCTAAACATCGAAGAGTTTAGTGTTTTAGTGGCGTGCTCACGCTACCAACTACACTCAACTCTTCGTAGCATCGCGAGGGTCCTAGTGTAGTGACTAGCGTGTCAGTTGTGTGTGTTAGCGAGCTCTGTGTTGTTAGTAAGACATTTCACACCGTCTATCCTTGTACTGGACGTGCATTTGAGATGTGTTCACTTCTCTTTTCTCGAGCGCGCTACCATCTGAGCCAATAATAAAAATAAAACATAATAAAATAATTATTATATTATGCATAATAAAATAATTATTATACATAATAAAATAATCATTATACATAATAAAATAATTATTTTATTATTTTATTATGTATTATGTATAATTACTTTGATGCAAAGTCGTCACAGATGATGATGATGATCGCCGCGATGATGTCACAATGTCGTACGGAACGGGGCCCAAGCGAATCGTATCGTCCGTTTGGCGACATTTGTACTTTTCATGCTCATTCTGTTACACAGTTTATTTTAAAACGAAACGTTATCAATCTACAGACTCGCTATTCCTGCCACGCGTCACTATCAGCCTGTGGGGGGGTGGGGGGGGTAGTGGAGGGATGGGGGGGGGGTAGATGGGGGGGTCAGGTGATGGGGGGGAGGGCCAGTCACGTGATGGGGGGAGGGGCAGTCACGTGATGGGGGAGGAGCAGTCACGTGATAGGGGGAGGGGCAGTCACGTGATGGGGGGAGGGGCAGTCACGTGGCTACTTGTGGGGGGGGGGGGGAGTTTGTTGGTGTGAGGGCGAGTGGAGGGAGTGGATTGAGGTGCGCAGCGAGAGAGACACAGAGAGAAGGCGAGTGGTGGTGATGGTGGTGATGGTGATGATGGTGGTGATGATGGTGGTGGTGATGGTGGTGGTGATGGTGGTGATGATGGTGGTGATGGTGGTGATGGTGGTGGTGATGGTGGTGGTGATGGTGGTGATGGTGGTGGTGATGGTGGTGATGGTGATGATGGTGGTGGTGATGGTGGTGGTGATGGTGGTGATGATGGTGGTGATGGTGGTGGTGATGGTGGTGATGGTGGTGATGGTGGATGGTGGTGATGGTGGTGGTGATGGTGGTGGTGATGGTGGTGGTGATGGTGGTGGTGATGGTGGTGATGGTGGTGGTGATGGTGGTGGTGATGGTGGTGGTGATGGTGGTGGTGGTGATGGTGGTGGTGATGATGATGATGTTGTTGATGATGTAGTTAATGTTGTTGATGGTGGTGATTGTTGTTGATGATGTTGTTGGTGGTGATGATGATGATGTTGTTGGTGGTGATGATGGTGGTGATGGTGATTGTGGTGATGGTGATTGTGGTGTTGATGATGGTGTTGATGATGTTGTTAATGTTGTTGATGATGATGTTGTTGTTGATGATGTTGTTGATGATGTAGTTAATGTTGTTGATGGTGGTGATTGTTGTTGTTGATGTTGTTGATGTTGGTGGTGATCACCACCCACGATGCGTCCCGCGTGTTCACGCCGTTAGAACTGAGCTGCTCACCGGGTCGCGTCGTGCAAAGGGCGCCAAATTGTGGGGGGAGGGGATTTTTTTTCCCTCTTCCTGTCAACGGGGGCATTATTTATTTATTTGTTAATTTATTTTTTTGTCTTTTATTACATTTTTATATTTTACTAGCATAAGTACCCGGCGTTGCCCGGGTGAAAAATATATTTCTTAATAACCTTACATATATACACAGATGGGCTACCCCCCCCCCCCCGCGCTACAATAATACTGTCTAATCGCTATAATTTTATTATCTACCGACCCTATAATAGTAATTGCACACATTGGGGTGGGGGGGGAGTGAAGAGGACGTGAAACTTTGATGAATTTACCTCAGAGTCGCGTGTTAATGCGCATATTTTTAACGGGAATTAAAAATGGCGTCCACCCCGTGGCGAATGCGTCGCTACCCGTTGCCAGGGGCAACCGCCGTGGAAACCAAACGGACCAATCGCGTCTCGCACATCCCTCACATTTCGTCCAATGAAACTGCGTATGGTCCGGCGACACACACAGACACACACACAGACACACAGACACACACAGACACACACACAGACACACACACACACAGACACACACACACAGACACACACACACACAGACACACACACACAGACACACACACAGACACACAGACACACAGACACACACACAGACACACAGACACACAGACACACACAGACACACACAGACACACACACAGACACACACAGACACACACACAGACACAGACACACACAGACACACACACAGACAGACAGACAGATTTGCGATTTTATATATATAGATTTATTTTCTTCTTCTTGGTTCTTTCGGTAAAGTCACGTAGAAGGTAAATAATAAAATATTAAAAATGGGTGCGTGGGGGGGGGGTAGTGGGGGGGTGATATTGGGTGGTGATGATGAAGGTTGATCCATAGACAGACTCACAACACAGAGACCCATAGACTACAATGTTATCTCAATAGGAATCGATTCAAACCGCTCACCGTTTCTATCACAATCGATTCGCATGGTATCCCAATAGGAATCGATTCTATCCGCTCTAATCACTAGCTACATCGATTCCTACGTTATCCTAATGTGAATCCATTTCACAAGAACAAATCACCATCATCGATTCCCACGTAATCGAAAATGTATTCGATTCCATCTTGCACTCACCACCACTGTCAATTCCAATGCAGTCCCACTAGGGATCGATTCCATCGGCTCCATTTTTGACCACAATCGATTCACTTGTTATCCCAATAGGAATCGATCCGAGTTTATTATTTGACCTTGAATCGATTTTCTCTGCACGTGACTTCGGCTGTCGCGTGGTGTGAGTGGGGAGTGGTGGTCCAGTGGTTAGCGCACTGTATGTGAGTGAGTGGTGGTGCAGTGGTTAGCGCACCGTGTGTGTGTGTGGGGAGTGGTGGTGCAGTGGTTAGCGCACTGTATGTGAGTGAGTGGTGGTGCAGTGGTTAGCGCACCGTGTGTGTGTGTGGGGAGTGGTGGTGCAGTTGTTAGCGCACTGTGTGTGAGTGGGGGAGATCCGGGCCCCGTGGTGTCGACGTTTCTCTATTTCCTCCTTCACGACGTTTGAATGACAACAACAAACAACGTGTCACTGTCGTCGTCATCATCACCAGCGTCTCGCGTGCCTCTCTCACAGACTGCCCCGGCGATGTCGGCCTGCTCTTGGGCCGAAGCCTCGGGCTCGCCTAGCGGGGCTGCCGGGAGAGGCGCGCCTCGAGGCGGCCAGCGCAGTAGGCCGCAGGCGCCCTCCCGCCGCGGGCTCGTCGAGGAGAGCGACTGGGCGTGGTGGGTTCAGTGCGCGGCTGTTGGTCCCCACGTGACCACGTGACCACGCCGCTCGCCGCCGCGTGTTGGGGACCACTTAGTCGGGGGGGGGGGCTGGTTCAGGTTTCACTGATTTAAGTGTAGTGTGTAGTGTAGTGTGTAGTGCAGTGTGTAGTAGTGTATAGTGTAGTGTATAGTAGTGTGTAGTGTATAGTAGTGTGTAGTGTAGTGTATAGTGTAGTGTATAGTAGTGTGTAGTGTAGTGTAGTGTGTAGTGTAGTGTATAGTGTAGTGTATAGTAGTGTAGTGTATAGTAGTGTAGTGTGTAGTGTAGTATAATAGTACAGTGCTAGTGTATAGAGTAGTGTATAGTGTAGTGTGTAGTGTATATAGTAGTGTATAGTGTAGTGTATAGTAGTGTATAGTGTATAGTGTAGTGTATAGTGTAGTATATAGTAGTGTAGTGTGTAGTAGTGTATAGTGTAGTGTAGTATAATAGTACAGCACTAGTGTATAGTGTAGTGTATAGTGTGTAGTGTAGTGTATAGTATAGTGTATAGTAGTGTAGTGTATAGTGTAGTGTATAGTATAGTGTATAGTAGTGTAGTGTATAGTGTAGTATACTTGTACAGCACTAGTGTATAGTGTAGTGTATAGTATAGTGTATAGTAGTATAGTGTATAGTGTAGTATACTAGTACAGCACTAGTGTATAGTGTAGTGTATAGTGTAGTGTCGTGTATAGTAGTGTAGTGTATAGTGTACTAGTTCAGCACTAACCGGTGTGTTGGAGAGCCAAGCCACAACATTTACAATCGGAGTACGACGTTTCTCCAGTAGTTGCAACTGGCTTCATCAGGCGACAAGCCGGATTTGTGTGGGGAAATGCTGTTTCGTTTGTGTTAAATTTACCAAATCCGTTTTAATAATGATTTTGCGTGTGCCAGGAAATGAGAGTACCTGAAAAAAAAGCTAAGGTTTTTTAAAATCCTTTATATTAAGTTCACTTGCTTGCGCGCTTACGACCGTGCAAATCTTTCGGTCGTTTTTTAACCCACTTCCCGTGATCTAATCGAGCTGACATTTTGCACACAGACTCGTTGTGCGTGACAATTTATTTTCGTGAAAAATTTTTGCAAAATTTTACACTTTTTAGGTAATTTTTTTAAATATTAAATTACCAATTGCTTAATGGTGGCAGGCAATCATCTGACCCATAGGTGGCAGCCATCTCAAGCCAGAGGACGAGAGGACGCTAGCCGCCCGTTTCAAAGACCAATGTGGGCTGGGTTGTGGCGCATTGAACACGCATATAAAGGATTTATAGTGAAAAACTTAGTTTTTACGGGTTAATTTTTTTAAATTCCCATTGTGATAAACACGAAATAGCCTGTGAAGTTAGGCCTAACCTCCTCCCCCCTCCCTACAATCGCTGTTGGCCCACACGCACACACACACTGCAGTGAGCAGGCAAGTGATTGCCAGAGGTGACTCGCGTATGTGACTTACTAATGCGTCCGGACACAGACGAGAGACGCACACATGCAGACTAAACGCGGCCACGCACAGCCACAAAGACCACACACACACCATGCAGATTACGTGCAGACACGCAGAGATTACACGGATGCGTAAAAACAAGATACAAAATACGTACTCGCAGACTAAATTAGACACGCACACCCACACACAAATACATGTCCATACAATTTGTATGTGCACATGTGTTTGAAATAGTGTAGTGTATAGTGTAGTGTATAGTGTAGTGTATAGTGTAGTGTATAGTGTAGTATACTAGTACAGCACTAGTGTATAGTGTAGTGTATAGTGTAGTGTAGTGTATAGTAGTGTATAGTGTAGTGTATAGTGTAGTATACTAGTACAGCACTAGTGTATAGTGTAGTGTATAGTAGTGTAGTGTATAGTGTAGTGTGTAGTGTATAGTATAGTATGCTAGTACAGCACTAGTGTATAGTGTAGTGTATAGTGTAGTGTATAGTGTAGTGTATAGTAGTGTATAGTGTAGTGTATAGTATAGTATACTAGTACAGCACTAGTGTATAGTGTAGTGTATAGTGTAGTGTATAGTAGTGTATAGTAGTGTATAGTGTAGTGGGTGGGGAGCGGTGGCGCAGCTGTTAGCGCTACGCTGCGCTACGAACCTGGCGACCCGAGTTCAATTCCCCGCTTGCGGTCAACACCAGTGACGATTATTTGAACCAATCCTGGGCCTCCCCTAGGTCGACTCGGCCTTAAATGAGCACCTGGTGCAGTGTGTAAACATCGCCACTGGTGTTGGCCACCCACCCCCTCGTGTGCCGTGCCGGCCTTCATAGGTGCTCGCAAACAGCACTTGCCCCAACAGTCTGTACTGGCTATACGGGGGATATTTGTCTTTGTGTATGTGCACACACACAAAACAAGATACGTCTCCCACCATAGCCCTCTTTAGTTTGTTGGGGAAAGTGCTGTTTGGGAACATCTATGAAGACTGGTTGGGCTGTAAGATTTCTATGGATTGGATCACCTGAATGAGAAGAGTAGTGCATTGATATTGAGATGTGGTTCCATTATGTTTCATACTAATCCAAACATATCTTTTCTTAAAGCGTTATGGGTGAAGGCAGGGAATTACTTTAAATGATTGGCAGCGACTACATGTAATGATTGATGTTGGCAAACGTGGCGTCAGTTATATCAACAAATGTACATCAGCATTGGGAGCTGAAATTACCATGACATTGTGATGCAAATGTAATGGGTTCCGGAGACACTTGTAGAGGTAACTTCTTTATTACAATCCAATACTCCAACAGTCCTGATACTCTTGTTACAGCCTAGGTACACAGCCTAGGTACACAGCCTAGATACACAGCCTAGGTACACAGCCTAGATACACTACTCTGGCTACGTTCTGGAACTCGCCCTCACAGTTCCAGAGTCCCACCACTGGCCCTCACAGCGTCCCAGGGTCCTAAGCTGGCTGGCGGGTCTTGAGCTACAACTGGCCCCAATCGTCCAGGGAGCTGCCCTTTTGTGCCTCGTCCCCAACGAGGGGTGGGGTTGTGTGCGCCCCCAGGTATCCCACAGAGCACACAGCCCCCCTGTTGGTGGCGCCAAGGGGCTTAAGCGTCTGGGGTGCCTGGGATCCTAGTGCCTGGCGCCAAGGGGCTTAAGTGTCTGGGGTGCCTGGGATCCTAGCGCCTGGCGCCAAGGGGCTTAACTGTCTGGGGTGCCTGGGATCCTAGTGCCTGGCGCCAAGGGGCTTAAGTGTCTGGGGTGCCTGGGATCCTAGCGTCTGGCGCCAAGGGGCTTAAGCGTCTGGGGTGCCTGGGATCCTAGTGCCTGGTGCCAAGGGGCTTAACTGTCTGGGGTGCCTGGGATCCTAGTGCCTGGCGCCAAGGGGCTTAAGTGTCTGGGGTGCCTGGGATCCTAGCGTCTGGCGCCAAGGGGCTTAAGTGTCTGGGGTGCCTGGGATCCTAGTGCCTGGTGCCAAGGGGCTTAACTGTCTGGGGTGCCTGGGATCCTAGTGCCTGGCGCCAAGGGGCTTAAGTGTCTGGGGTGCCTGGGATCCTAGCGTCTGGCGCCAAGGGGCTTAAGTGTCTGGGGTGCCTGGGATCCTAGCGCCTGGTGCCAAGGGGCTTAAGTGTCTGGGGTGCCTGGGATCCTAGTGCCTGGCGCCAAGGGGCTTATCTGCCTAGGGTCCCAGAGCCCCCGGCAGCCCTTCCCTCTTATGTCACGACACAAGGGCTGTGTTGGAAACTCTTCCTTCGTTGCCAATGTCTGCTCGTCTCCCTTGTGCTGTTGCATGTTCAGCCCCATCTGTTTGGACACGATAGAAGAGCCGTACATGACCAAGTGTGGCCACAGCTTCTGGTATGTGCGTGTCTGCTCGGAGGAGAAGTGCTTCTGTTCCATCTTGCAAAACACTCGCAGACCAAGTTCCTCGCAATCCAAGGTTTTACTGTACTTTGTTGTTGCATTCCATTTCTTTCCACCGTCCGGCGAATGTGCGACAATATTCGGTGATTGGTAAATTTTCCAATGATGCTGATAACGGCGATTGCCAATTTACTCGCCGTTGCATTTTGTCTGCGTTTCAGTTGCAAATGCATCCGTCGGAGTCTGGAGGAGAACAATAGCTGCCCAAAGTGCAGTTCCGCCATTAAGAATTCAAAGCAGATATATCCAAACTTCCTCTGTGAGTTGTTTTTTACTTATTTTCCATCCACCTGCATTTTTCGCAAATTTTGTTTCACGGCAATGCAACACAGGCCTTCAACGATTGATGCTCTGCAAACCTCCTGGCTACCATCAAAGGTTTGTTCAAGTTCAAGTTTCATGTATTAGGTGTAGCCATGTGAGCCATTCGGCTCTTGAATCGGGTGCAACTGCAACAAACAAAAAACAAAAACATGAACAAGAAAACATCTTAAAGTGAATATGTGACTGAGTACAAACAGAAAATCCAAGAAAAGACAGCAAAATATTGCAGAAAAAACACCGTACACCAACGCTGTGTGCAAAAATCCCAGTGGGATGCAAGTCAAACAACAACAACAACAACCACAAGACAGCTTAGATTAAGGCCATCAGTCTAACTCTGTACTACAACAACACAAACATGGCTAAACCAATACACTTTTCGAAATCACCAAAATAAAGCCATGAAAGCAATGAAAAAGCAATCATAGGAACTGTGACGGAATTTTACACGAAGCCATCCAGATATACAAACACAGACGTAACTTCAACTAATAAAAGTAAAATAAAAATAAAATAAAAATCTTTTATTTTTATTTCACTTTTATTAATTTTAATTTTTTACCTACGTGACGTTACCGAAAAAAACCTAAGAATATGAATCCTTGCAGTCACGAAAGCTTCAAATCTAGAATAACTTCAACTGTGATGATGGGTACAAACTGAGTAATAATGGGAAAGATGTTATTAACCATGCAAAAAAGATTTAACGACACATATTTGGACCATCTTATTTAACAGGTACTATTCTACTTTACCGAGCGTTGACATCCCCAGCGTTTAACAGTACTCTCCTTTTTAAATCCTTTATATTAAGTTCGCTTGCTTGCTTGCTTGCGCGCTTACGACCGTGCAAATCTTTCGGTCGTTTTTTATTTAAATCCTTATATTAAGTTTGCTTGCTTGCTTGCGCGCTTACGACCGTGCAAATCTTTCGGTCGTTTTTTAACCCACTTCCCGTGATCCAATCGAGCTGATATTTTGCACACAGACTCGTTGTGCGTGACAATTTTTTTTAGTGAAATTTTTTTTCCATAACTTTACACTTTTTAGGAAAAAATTAATTATATTGAATTACCAATTGCTTAATGGTGGCAGGCAATCATCTGACCCATAGGTGGCAGCCATCTCAAGCCAGAGGACGAGAGGACTCTAGCCGCCACGCATATAAAGGATTTATAGTGAAAAACTTTGTTTTTACGGGTTAATTTTTTACCTACCTGACTTTACCTAAATAACCTAAGAGTGATGCTCGCGTTGTTTAATATTTAACAGCTTTTTCCCCCACACGCGTCTTTTCGCAGTGAACGAGCTGGTCCTGAAGCAGCGTCAGCGGCTAGAGAATCGAATCGAGATGGAACAACCGGTGATTGGAGATGTGCAGGGAAAAACATCACTGGCACATTTTATAGTAATAGGTTTTTACCCTTTCAACTGGTACAAAAACTGACACCTTTGTACCAGTTGAAAGGGTAAAAACCTACTACTATATTTTGCTACTGGTAAAGGAGATGTCTCATAGTGTAAATGCTTCACCCCGAGCTCTCAATACTCTGATAGTGCGCTGTCTTTGAGTTGTACGCCTTTTGGCGTCATCTGGTCCAACACCATGTGAGACTAGGCTCTTAAGAAAAGCTGTCTCGGGTGTGGACCAATCAACTTCAAGGACAGTGCATATCATCATCAGAGTTGTGTCTTTCTGTTTGCATTTTGACTGCTTGTGTTGTGGTTATTGCAAACATGATGCCTTGTATAAAGGTGTCAGTTTTTGTACCAGTTGAAAGGGTAAAAACCTACTACTATATTTTGCCACTGCTAAAGGAGATGTGGCCAGATCGCTACTGAGAAAGAGGTATGTAGCTCAGTGGACCTTAGCTGGCCAAACTAAAATGTAAATATTTGTTAAATAGTCCTCTACGTGGCCCACGGTTGGAGGTTACTGACCGAAGACGCGCCGTGCGCTACGGGCTGTCGGTGTCGCGTGGACAACGCAATGAACTTTGCTGAAAGTTCAAGTTCATTGATTAGGTGTAGCCCTGTGAGCCATTCGGCTCTTGAATCGGGTGCAACCGCAACAAACAACAAAAACATGAACAAGAAAACATCTTAAAGTGACTTTGTGACTAAGTGCAAACAGAAAATCCAAGAAAAGACAGCAAAATATTGTAGAAAAAACACCGTACACCGATCCCAGTGGGATGCAAGTCAAACAACAACAATAACCACCACCAGACAACTTAGATTAAGGCCATCAGTCTTACTCTGTACTACAACAACACAAACATGGCCAAACCAGTAAACTTTTCGAAATCACCAAAATAAAGCAATGAAACAGTGATCACATAGGAACTGTGACGGAATTTTCACAATAAACGACAAACAACATGTACCACCAGAACCCTGCTGAGACGACTCCCGGCAAGTGCTTTTCGCACTTCACGAGGTGACCGGCCACGTCTCTTGATCACCGTGTCACGTGACCCTTCCACCCTGCCGACCCCCCCCCCTCTTCCTCACAGAGCGTCCATCACCGGCAGACTATCCAGGAGTTGCTGGCGCTGGACCGAGATGGCTTGGAGCTGGCCGACGTGAACCGCATTCTGGAGCTGCTCACTCAGAAGAAGATGCAGCTGGAAGCGGTGAGTTGGCGTTGTTTGTGACGGCGGCGTCAGGAGCAGTGCGGTGCCGCAGAGCTCGCTTGTCGAGAGGGCTTTCCCCCTTTTCTCTGGCAACAAAACTGATGAACACCATATGAGACTGGGCTCTAAAGAAAGCTGTCTCTGGTGTGGACCAATCAGTTTCAAGGACAACACATAAATGATCAGAGTATTGTTTTTTTTTTGCATTTGACTGCAAGTATTGTGGTTAATGTAAACATGATTCAATCTTAATTTTGGAGCTTTCGTGACTGCAGGAATTATTCTTTGGTTCTTTCGGTTAAGTCACGTCTAAAGATAAAATAGCCAATTAAATAATAGCATATTACGACGTTTCGATTGCAACACAAGCAATCGTCATCAGGCATAAAAGAAATAGCAACAAAAATCTAACTAGAAAACTATAGACAGACATACAAGCAGACAGACATCTCTCTCTGTGTGTCTTTGTGGTATTTCTTGTGATCTCTCATTTACTTGATACAGCTGTCGTGGCTGTGACGGTTCCACCTGAAGACGGAGGCTTGTGTTGCTTCCGAAACGTCGTGATTTTTTATTTTATTTTGCTTTATTTTACTTTTATTAATTTAAATTTTTTACCTACGTGACTTTACCGAAAAACCTAAAAATATAGTATTCATCCAAGCTACCAAGATCTGGACCAGTGTTTACCTCCCGGGTCTTAGTCATCAGTCAGGCTCGTTCAATGAACCCCGCTGGGCAAAGCGCTGACGTTAGGTGTTTGCGATCAGCACGGCACTCCCGCAAGCCTGCAGGCCTAACTGGGGGATCTCTGTTTGTGTGTCCGTGCGATCTGCAAGACTCCACCTTTGCTCGCACCGGTGACAGTGGCCAAGTCGCCTTCCAAGGGCGGCATCCGCAAGCCCCTTGCCACGGGGGAGGTCGTGAAGAAAAAGCGAAAAGTTTTGCATCTGTCGGACTCCGAGGGCTCGGACAGCATGGATTTCATGGTGAGTAATGCGACTGCTTTGATTGAAATTCTTTGGACGATGCAATGGGACTCGATCCACTCTCGTAGGGACAAAGCGGCTCGCTTGAGCGCTAGGGATGATTGGGTCATGTGTGGATGTTCACGCTGGATAGAAGCATTCTCCTAATGTGCGGTGCGCTGTGAAACTCAGAGCTCGACCAACTGGAGGGAGAGTTTTTCCCAGATAATTAAATAATTGCTGTAATCTAACAAACTATGTCATTGTAATCTAAGCCATTCATTTGACAATAACATTAAACAAAACATTTACAATTTAAAAACTAAAATCACTTCTGCAGTTTAATGCGAGTCTCCATCACCATCAATCAGATTCAAAGGGTCACTGGATGTGGGAAGGTGGAATAGACGTCTTGACGAGCTTGGAGCATTTGTTCAATGAACGTAGGATGAATGTGCCAGAGACGGAGAGTGCTCACAAAGCATGCCCGTGACCAAGGGACGGGTTTCTGAATTCCCAAAATAAAAAAAATGCAAATTTCGATTTGCTCGTACAATGCACTCGTATTCCGGCAAGGCCGAATAAATGTTTTAAATTGCAGGATCTTTGCGTGATTTTGTGGCTAGGTCGACGAAGAGCTGCTAGCAAGTGTGTCGGGCGTGATGACTGAAAAGGCCAGGGCAGCAGGCAAGATGAGATCTGCCATCGTTGTCACGCATGTCAAGACGGTGAGTGCACCAGACTCGCAGTCCCGTTTGATCTCCCGGCGCGGCAGGTTAAACAATGCTGATGATGATGATGATGTCACGCACTTTTTTCTCTTACTCCAAAATATCATTGTTGCTCTTCAACAATCTTTCACGTGGTGAGCCGCTTCGTAGAGCTGCTCGCGCTTGTGGCCGGGACGCTTCTGTGAGAGAAGCTGATGGTTTAGTGGGCCTTGCCTGGTAAGATAAACATCTACTTCAAGGACGGTGCATACATTATCAGAGTTGTGTTTTTTGTTTGCATTATGACTGCAGGTATTGTGGTCTATGCAAACATGACTCCTTATAAATGAGGTTCCAATGGTGTAAATGCTTACCCCAAGCTCTCATACTCTGATGGTGCATTGTCTTTGAGTTGTGCGCATTTTGGCGTCATCTGGTCCAACCCATGTGAGACTAGGCTCTAAGGAAAGCTGTCTCGGGTGTGGACCAATCAACTTCAAGGACAGTGCATACATTATCAGAGTTGTGTTTTTTGTTTGCATTCCGACTGCAGGTATTGTGGTCTATGCAAACATGGCTCCTCGTAAAAAAGGTGTCAGTTTTGTTGCCAGATAAAAGGTTAAAAAAAACAATTAACAAGAAAAAAATGGTTTAGGTTTTTTTTGTTTATTAGAAAAAAAACTTTTTACCTTCCCTACACTTTGCGCTCCTATTGTGTTTTTGTATTGTTTGTTGTTGTGAAATGTGAACGACCTCACCTGGCATACAGGAGGTCTCCCCGTGGTCGCGTGGCTTTTTCTCCAGGTTCTCCGATTTTCCCCTCCACATTTACAAACACGCTCTCAGAGTGTTTGGCTGCTATACATGTCCACGTGATAGGCCACTTGGTTGAGCTGTCATTTGTGGCCAGTACACTTCTGAACAAGAGCTATACAGCTCAGTGGGCCTCACCTGGTCAAATAAAAATACAAAGTTAATAGTTCTGGACATCTGTGAAAAACAGCTTCATATCTCATCGCATTCCTCCAGTATCAATACATCTTCTCATTCTCTATAAATGGGCGCACCGTTTCATTGCTCGCCTGCTTGTGTGTGCTGGGGTCAAGTTGCGGGTGTATTCCCACCATTGTCCAAGACGCCGTGTACAGCGGTCACCCTCTGTAGAACTCCCACCAGAGCTCCTTCTGCCTGCAGTGACGTGACTTCTTCTCTTTCCCACGTGTCTCGCTGCATTTCTTCTGGCGGTTGCTCTCATTCCCAGTCCGCGTGTAGCGGCATCAATGCCAGTCACCTGATTGGTCACCCCAGCCCGTTCAAGGCGACTGTTTTGACCAATCTTCAATGAGCCCATTGATGAACGTAGATCTCAGACACGATGCGGGGTTGAGTCGGTGGGAGACTGCCGGGGACTGCCAGGCTTGGCCTACGAGGTGGTCAGGAGATGGCAGTGTAGCCATGGATTCTTGACTCTATCAGTGTGGAGCTTTTGAGTGCTCCCCCCCCCCCCTCTTATGTAAATGCTGTTTAATGTTTACAATAATATTGTGTTCGTGTCAGATGTTTTGAGCCCTCGTTTTCACGTTGACATTCTTGTTTTTGTGGCATTGAGACTTCATCGGCCACAATCATTCCACTTCCGGACGAAGACCTCCCCGCGCAATCGCCATCTCTCACGATCCTGCAGATATAATGATCCACACTCAGCGCCTACGCACGCCGCTCAATTCATCGCTCCATCTCCTCGCTTGGAGCCGTCTCAGTCGAGTATCTCCCGTTGGATGCCATTCAGGTCCATGTTTTCTTGACCATCGTCCATCATCCCTCTCTCGGCACCCGTCCAGCACAAGCTGCCGGCTTCCCTCAACAGTGTGAACGATGTCATGGAGCTGTGTGTATTATCTAACACTCGTGTTGTTGTCCGTGCGTATGTGCGTTGAACTTCGTTCGCAACACCGTGCGTTGCCATGAACCCTGTGTACATGATCTGACCCTCGTGTCCGTACGTACGTACGTGTGTGTGTATGTGTGTGTGTGTACGTGTCCGTACGTACGTGTGTGTGTGTGTACGTGTGTGTGTGTGTGTACGTGTCCGTACGTACGTGTGTGTGTACGTGTGTGTGTGTACATGTGTGTGTGTACGTGTGTGTGTGTACGTGTGTGTGTGTGTGTACGTGTGTGTGTGTATGTCCGTACGTACGTACGTGTGTGTGTGTATGTGTCCGTACGTACGTACGTACGTGTGTGTGTACGTGTGTGTGTATGTGTGTGTGTGTGTATGTGTGTGTGTGTGTACGTGTGTGTGTGTGTGTACGTGTGTGTGTGCGTGTACGTGTGTGTGTACGTGTGTGTGTACGTGTACGTGTGTGTGTACGTGTGTGTGTACGTGTGTGTGTGTGTACGTGTGTGTGTACGTGTGTGTGTACGTGTGTGTGTACGTGTGTGTGTGTACGTGTGTGTGTGCGTGTGTGTGTGCGTGTACGTGTGTGTGTGTACGTGTGTGTGTGTGTACGTGTGTGTGTACGTGTGTGTGTGTGTACGTGTGTGTGTGTACGTGTGTATGTGTGTACGTGTGTGTACGTGTGCGTGTGCGTACGTGTGCGTGTGCGTACGTGTGCGTACGTGTGCGTGTGCGTGTGCGTACGTGTGTGTACGTGTGTGTACGTGTGTGTACGTGTGCATGTGTGTGTACGTGTGTGTGTACGTGTGTGTGTGTGTACGTGTGTGTGTGTGTACGTGTGTGTGTGTGTACGTGTGTGTGTGTACGTGTGTGTGTGTACGTGTGTGTGTGTTGAACTTCGTTCGCAACACCGTGCGTAGCCAACCGTGCGAATCGGAGGTGCGGGCGGATGGACAACAAAAACGTTGTTCCTTTCACCGTCTCTCAGTGTAATTCCTAGCGAGCATCACATTAAACTTGGACTGTCTGGCACGCAACATATCGGTAGAACATTAAACTTGGACTATCTGGCATGCGACATTTCTTTGCAGCGTCCGAGATGTAGCAGCCAACCTCAAGTCGGCTACCTTAGCACGAGTTTGAATTTCCTTCCGATTCAATTTGAAACTTTACCTGTCACACGCAGCCCACCGGGAATCCGCGCGTGTTATTTCGAGGACACGCCACGGCAAGGTGGAGGAGGCATCCACCGCAGGAGCCTGTGCACCTCGTCACGAGAGACGAACACCAAGCCACGCTCACTTGAGCAGGAGGACCACTCTAGACTTTTGACGATGCCCAATTGTCTTCGATGTGTTCATTTGTTACAGGCGATTGAGATCTCAAGAAAAACCACGTTGACAGCAAAGATCAAACAAGGGAAGATGGTCTCTGCATCACCTTCCATCAAGCTTCCTGCAAAACGGCGACACTCACCCTTTGACTGGTTTGAGGGTCCAGATGTCGACACCACTTCTGAATCTGAGGATTAAAAGAGAATCGGAGTTTGTTTTGAGGGACGTTGTTTTACGTTCCATTGTTCTTGGCGAAATGGTAGCCAGGGTGGAGACTTTTAGCCACCGCAGTTCAAATGTTTTGGGTGTTCAGTTTTAAGTCGCTGCTTTTCATCAATTTTCAGAGAGGAGGTGGGGGGGTGGACACTTTCGCCGTTAACACTGGTCAACAACAACAACACAAGCATGTTTTTCTGGCCTGGACTTTTGCAGCTGTTCTAGACTAATTTCAGGGTGCCGATTCCAAATCTGATCTCAGATTTGCTCAATCACATCTCATTTTTAAATCCTTTATATTAAGTTCGCTTGCTTGCTTAGGACCGTGCAAATCTTTCGGTCGTTTTTTAACCCACTTCCCGTGATCCAATCGAGCTGACATTTTGCACACAGACTCGTTGTGCGTGACAATGCATTTTCCTGAAAAAAATTTCCTAAATTTTACACAGTTTTAGAGAAAATTTAAATATTTAATTACCAATTGTTTAATGGTGGCAGACACTCATCTGACCCATAGGTGGCAGCCATCTCAAGCCAGAGGACGAGAGGACTCTAGCCGCCCCGATGCCACGCATATAAAGGATTTATAGTGAAAAACTTTGTTTTTACGGGTTAATTTTTTATGCTATCGGCATACCCCATTTTCATCGATTTTACCCGAAATTAACTCTGTCACTTATGATTGCAAGTTGTTGCGAGTCAGTGACTGCTTTAGTGTTAAAATATGGTGCTGTATTTTTAGGATAGTGTGCTTATAATATCATTTTATGTAGATATCCACATTTATTTAATATTTTCTTCTGCAGTTTTTATTGAAAATGCAATCTTTGATATCTCAAAAACATTTTGATTGCATTTGATTGTAAAGTGAACGTTCATTGTTTCTGTTCGTTGCGTGTACGCTCAAAATTAAAGCGCTTAAAATCGCAAGCAATTCCGTGCTTTTTTTTGTATTCAACGTAAGGAAATACACTCGGAAAGGTTGTGAGTTTGCGAAACCCGTCGCGGGTACCAACTCAGCCCCTTCACCCATTGTGAACATCATCGCCACTGTCGGAGGTCAATCGTGGTTCCGTCCTAATAGCTTCAACAAGTATAACCCGTAAAAACAAAGTTTTTCACTATAAATCTTTTATATGCGTGGCGGCTAGAGTCCTCTCGTCCTCTGGCTTGAGATGGCTGCCACCTATGGGTCAGATGATTGTCTGCCAGTATTAAACAATTGGTAATTAAATATTTAATTTGTTTTCCCTAAAAGTGTAAAATTTTGGAAAAAAAATGTTCACGAACATTAATTGTCTCGCACAACGAGTCTGTGTGCAAAATGTCAGCTCGATTCGATCACGGGAAGTGGGTTAAAAAACGACCGAAAGGTTTGCACGGTCGTAAGCGCGCAAGCAAGTGAACTTAATATAAAGAATTTTAAAAGCCGAAGAGTCTTTGCCAACATTGTCAACGTGCGCCCGCAATCTTCTACAGGTGCAGGTCTCCAGAGGCCGGAGGCAGCACGTTCTCCTGTGCTGCTGCTGTTGCAAAGTCTCAGAAGTGTTCACTTGTTTTTGAAGCACTCCCCCCCCTGTATTCACAACAGCATAAGAGAGACGGGGGAGGATGACTGTGCGTGTGCATGCACGCTATTGAGTGGCAAACTTTCACGCGACTGGCAACAAACCAGGACTTGCCAAGTCACGTTTTTGCGAAGACTTGGAGATATCCCACGGGAGCCGACCTCCATAAGAGGATGATCTTGGTCGCAAACTCGCGTCGTAAAGAATTACAAATGATAACCGTGGCAATCTAGTGATATCAATTTAATGAAATGAAATGCATCAATGCAGGGATATTACATCAAAGCAAGGACGGGTGGCAACCTCGCGTCTTAAAACAAAAATACTGTAAAAATCACACTCGTTTTGAAAATATAGTGGCGTCACTTAAATGAAACTCGATATGACGTCAGCGCGGGGGAGTCGTGACATCGGTTCACGGTGACCTTGGCGTCTTTGTTCGTTTTGCTCACTAGACGGGATTCGAAGCCGTGTCCTTCACGTGTCAAGGGTGACCCACCCTTCCTGTCCTGTCCCCTCGGCAATGCCGCCTCCACAGGGACAACCAACCCCTCTATCCCTAATGAACATCTGTTGCATCACCCAATTCCCTGACCCCCACCCCTGCCCCCAGATTGTGCCCGATGTAGTACAGGGACTACCTCTACTTACAAACATTCGACTTGGGAACTTTCAGAGATACGTACAAACCTGTCCGTATGTCCCGTTACCGCAGTTCAACGATGCGATTGCCCATCACAAGTTGATTTGTGCAGAGATGAAGAGAACAACTGTGCAGACATCTCTTAGTAGGTATTTCAAGAGAATAGAGAGGAAACACGTGCCAAAGGGAATTAGCATCTACATCTGCAGAACGTGAAGAATCAGTGGCATCTACATCTACAAAACGTGAAGAACCAGTGGCATCTACATCTGCAGAACGTGAAGAACCAGTGGCATCTACATCTGCAGAACGTGAAGAACCAGTGGCATCTACATCTGCAGAACGTGAAGAACCAGTGGCATTCTACATCTGCAGAACGTGAAGAACCAGTGGCATCTACATCTGCAGAACGTGAAGAACCAGTGGCATCTACATCTGCAGAACGTGAAGAACCAGTGGCATCTACATCTGCAGAACGTGAAGAACCAGTGGCATCTACATCTGCAGAACGTGAAGAACCAGTGGCTTCTACATCTGCAGAACGTGAAGAACCAGTGGCATCTACATCTGCAGAACGTGAAGAACCAGTGGCATCTACATCTGCAGAACGTGAAGAACCAGTGGCATTTACATCTGCAGAACGTGAAGAACCAGTTGCATCTACATCTGTAGAACGTGAAGAACCAGTGGCATTTACATCTGCAGAACGTGAAGAACCAGTGGCATCTACATCTGCAGAACGTGAAGAACCAGTGGCATCTACATCTACAGAATGTGAAGAACCAGTGGCATCTAATCCGAACGGTGAGAACCAGTGGCATCTACAGCTCTCTCCTCCTGCCCTTTTGTCTCTCCCCCTTTCTGCCCCCCCGTCTCTCTCCCTCCCTGCCCCCCTCTCCCTCCCTGCCCCCCTCTCTCTCCCCCTCTCTGCCCCCCTCTCTGCCCCCCCGTCTCTCCCCCTCTCTGCCCCCCCGTCTCTCTCCCTCCCTGCCCCCCTCTCCCTCTCTGCCCCCCCATCTCTCCCCTCTCTGCCCCCCATCTCTCCCCTCTCTGCCCCCCCGTCTCTCTCCCTCCCTGTCCCCCTCTCTCTCCCCCTCTCTGCCCCCCCGTCTCTCTCCCTCCCTGCCCCCTCTCCCTCTCTGCCCCCCCATCTCTCCCCCTCTCTGTCCCCCCATCTCTCTCTCTCTCTGCCCCCCCATCTCCCTCCCTCCCTGGGCCCCCGTCTCTCTCCCTCCCTGCCTCCCCGTCTCTCTCCCTCCTTCCCAACTGAATCGCCCTAACCTCTCGCTTATAAATCGACGAAGGTTCGGCGCCCTCTGATGTCTCTCTCTCTCTTCCTGTCGTCCCCTTGCCTCCACTTCTCTTTGCCGATCTCTCGCGACGTCTCTGCCCCTCCCCTCTTCTCGCCCCGTCTCTCTCGCTCCTTCTGAACCGGACCCCCCTAACCTCTGCCTCAAGAACCGTTGAATGAAATTCCTCTGATGGTTGTCTCTCTCTCTCTCTTGCTGTACTCCCCTCGCCGCCTCGTCTCTGCGTCTCTCGCTCGCCGCGTCTCTGGCCCTCGACTCTTGCTGCGCCGTCTCTCTCTCCCCTCTTCCCCTCCCGCTCCCCGACTCCGCCCCGGTTCCGTGCCCCTCAGGCCGAGCTCCTGCCCCTCGCTGACCTTCACCTGCCCCCCCCCCCCTTCGCTGCCCTCCCTCACGAGACCTCCCACGCACAATTCCTTGGTCCCATCCCTCTCTCGCCTCGCTCCCGCACTTCTTCATGGAAGCTCTTCGTGGGACGCGTCTCCTCCGGGCGCCGTTCGGCCTCCTGCAAGCACCTCCTGCACGCACCTTGTGCACCGCCACTGCCAAAGACAAAGATCCCCCGTATAGCCTCTAACAGACTGTCGGGGGCAAGTGCTGTTAGCGAGTAGCAGCACTTATCAAGGCCGGCACTGTGGCACACGGGGGGGTGGGTCCCACGATGCTTGTGCACACACCACACACACAGTCACACAAACACAGTCACACAACACACACAGTCACACACACACCACACACACACACCACACACACACCCCACACACAGTCACACACCACACACAGTCACACACCACACACAGTCACACACCACACACAGTCACACACCACACAGTCACACACAGTCACACACACACAGTCCACACAGTCACACACCACACACAGTCACACACACACACCCCACACACAGTCACACACAGTCAGACACCACACAAACCCACCTTGGAATGACTTGTGCACGTGTACTGTAGCTGCTGCTGATGCTGCTACTGCAGCTGCTGCTGATGCTGCTGATGCTGCTATGCTGCTGCTACTGCTACTGCTGCTGCTGGAGAGACGGTCGCTGCACCTTCGAAAGAGGCTGCTGCAACTTGCTGAATCCGCTCCCTGTTGAGCTGCACTACTGCAAGTTCAAGTTCATGTATTAGGTGTAGCCCTGTGAGCCATTCGGCTCTTGAATCGGGTACAACCGCAACAAACCAAAAACATGAACAAAAAACATCTTAAAGTGACTATGTGTGACTGAGTGCAAACAGAAAATTCAAGAAAAGACAGCAAAATATTGCAGACAAAAAATCACAGTTACACCAACTCTGTGTGCAAACATCCCAGCAGACAACAAATCGATTAACGAATGAAATCGGCTAACCCTATATATAGTATTGGTTCTTTCTGTTATAAAGTCACGTAAATAGAAAAAAATTATAATAAAATATTGAAAAAATGGCGGGTTTTGCTTTTATTATTTTCCATTTTTTTTCTTATTTTTTATTTTCAATCGACGCGATTTTACCAAAAGAACCAAGAATATGAATTCCTGCAGTCAGGAAAGTTTTAAGTCAAAATTGATCCGCTAACCCGTCAAGGCCAAGTGAACCTGTTAATCAATTGCTGCTATAACCGTACCGGCTTCAAGTAGCAGCAGCAGCAGAGAGACACTGTGGCACCACTGCAGCTCCCACGTGACAGCGTCTGGCCACGCCCAGCGCGGGTCACGTGTCAGGAAGGGGCGGGGCTTAAGCACCACGTGGGCAGAGCCCCCAGGTGTCATTGGCTGTCTGCGTGGTGTCGTCTATGGGTCTCTGTGCGTGAGTCAAGTTCATGTATTAGGTAGAGCCCTGTGAGCCATTCGGTTCTTGAATCGGGTGCAAACTGAAAAAACAAAAAAAACATCTTAAAGTGACTATGTGCAAACTGAAAACACAAACAAAAAACTAAAACATGAACAAAAAACATCTTAAAGTGACTATGTGCAAAATGAAAAAACAAACAAAAAACAAAAACATGAACAAAAAACATCTTAAAGTGACTACGTGCAAACTGAAAAAACAAAAACATGAACAAAAAACATCTTTAAGTGACTATGTGACTGAGTGAAAACAGAAAATTCAAGAAAAGACAGCAAAATATTGCAGAAAAAAATCACCGTTACACACCAACGCTGTGTGCAAAAATCCCAGTGGGATGCAAGTCAAACAACCAACAACAACAACCACAAGACAACTTAGATAGTCGATGGTCTCTATCAGTAATTCTACATTTGAAGCTTTCGTGACTGCCAGGAGTAGGTTTTTTCGGTAAAGTCACGTAGGTAAAAATACAAATAATAAAAAATAATAAAAAAAATCACGACGTTTCGCAGGCAACACAAACTTCCTTCATCAGGTGTAAAAAAGCACAAAAAAAAACCTGTACGTCGTGATTTATTATTTTATTTCTATTAATATTTACATTATTTTTATTATTTATCTCTTCTGTAGTCTATGGGTCTCTGTGACCCCCCCCCGTGAGGATCGTGAATCGAGGTCAGAATCGACCGACGGCTTGCAATCTAAGTCGATTCTAACGTAATCGCATGGAGGAATCGATCCACGGATCGATCCGACGACATCACCGTTAACCAAATCGCAATGGAGGTAGAAGCCAACAGCTTCCATCGAGTCGCGAAGTCGTCACCTCCTCTACCTCCTCTTCTACCTCCCCCTCTACCTCCTCCTCTACCTCCTCCACCTCCTCAATTGCCTCGCGACATCAACGACCCTCCCACAGCAGCGCAGCGGAATCAGCAACAACGACGTCAATCCCGCCACTGAGGCCTACACCGCCATGCAGCCTGCGGCCTCTGCCCAAGCCGCGTCGCATTCTGCGGGGGAGATTCAGGCGAGGGGTCGGTGGCTGCGGCGAGGAGGAGGAGGAGGAGGATGAAGCGATGCAGTTGCTGACCATCGTAACCGGCGATCTCATCTCCGGCTACGTGGCTCACCTGACGCAGCAGACGGAGCAGCAGCAGCAGCCTCTGCTGCAGCAGGGGCTGCAGCAGCAGCTGCAGCAGCAGCTTCAGCAGTTGCAGGAGCAGCTCCCGGCGGTGCAGCAACATCTCCTGCTGTCGCAGCAGCAGCAGCAGTGGATGGAGAAGCTCTGGCAGCAGCAATTCCAGCACATGCAGCAGGTGCAGGAGCAGCTCCAGCAGGTGCAGCGGCAACAGGAGCTTGTGCAGCAGCTGCAGCAGCAGGAGCAGCTCCTGGATGTGCAGCAGCAGCAGCAGCTGCTGCAGGAGCTGCAGAAGAAGTATCAGCTCCAGGAGGTGCAGCTGATGCGTCGGTTCAAGCAGCTGCACCAAATGCAGCAGGAGCATTTCCAGCAGTTGCAGCAGTTCAAGGAGTGGCAGGAGCTGCAGCGGCAGGCGCGGCAAATCCAGCGGCAGCTCCGGGAGGTGCGCTCGCTGCTCCAGACCTCCCGGCGGCTGGTGCGGATGCGTGTGGAGCTTCTGCAGGAGGCGCTCGACACCCGAGGAGACGCGTTGCTGGCAGAGTTCGAAGCCTCCATCCCAGACTTTGTGAGGCGCGCGGAGGAGCTGGCGAAGCAAGTGGACCCGCGCCGGCTGGTCGTGACCCTGGCCTGGCAGGTTCTCACCGCGGGGCCCATGAGCTGGGGCTGCGTGCTGTCCATGGTGGTGTTTTGCGCGCTGCTCGTCAAGAACCTGAGGGCCTCCGGTCGTCTGGGCGACTCGGAGGAGACTTGGCCCTTGACGGACGCGGTGGCCGCTGTGCTGTTGACCACATGCAAGACCTGGCTCATGGAACAGGGAGGCTGGGTGAGGGGTTACACACCGCCACCATCAACACCACAATTTCGCTGGAACAGCGTGTTGGTAATTACAAGCCCATGGTCTGCACAAAATCTAGCAGCCTCCTACCGGTTGTTATTGAGTTGATCTGACCCATGTCCTCCAATCGCCACCAGTGTCTCACCACCCAGTGTCTCACTAGCAGTGTCTCACCACCCAGTGTCTCACTACCCAGTGTCTCACTAGCAGTGTCTCACTACCCATTGTCTCACCACCCAGTGTCTCACTACCCAGTGTCTGACCACCCAGTGTCTCACTACCCATTGTCTCACTACCCAGTGTCTCTGTACCAGTGACTCACTACCCGGTGTCTCACTACCCAGTGTCTCACTACCCAGTGTCTCTGTACCAGTGACTCACCACCAGTGTCTCATTACCCGGTGTCTCACTACCCAGTGTCTCACTACCCAGTGTGTCACTACCCGGTGTCTCAGTGTCTCACTACCCAGTGTCTCTGTACCAGTGTCTCACTACCCAGTGTCTCTCTGCCCAGTGTCTCTGTACCAGTGACTCACCACCAGTGTCTCACTACCCGGTGTCTCACTACCCAGTGTCTCACTAGCAGTGTCTCACTACCCAGTGTCTCACTACCCGGTGTCTCAGTGTCTCACTACCCAGTGTCTCTGTACCAGTGTCTCACTACCCAGTGTCTCTCTACCCAGTGTCTCTCTACCCAGTGTCTCTGTACCAGTGACTCACCACCAGTGTCTCACTACCCGGTGTCTCACTACCCAGTGTCTCACTAGCAGTGTCTCACTACCCAGTGTCTCTGTACCAGTGACTCACCACCAGTGTCTCACTACCCAGTGTCTCACTACCCAGTGTCTCTGTACCAGTGACTCACCACCAGTGTCTCACTACCCGGTGTCGCTCTACCCAGTGTCTCACTACCCAGTGTCTCTGTACCAGTGTCTCACTACCCAGTGTCTCACTACCCAGTGTCTCACTACCCAGTGTCTCTGTATCAGTGACTCACCACCCAGTGTCTCTCTACCCAGTGACTCACCACCAGTATCAGATCAGAGAACAACGCCAAAAGGCGACCAGCACAAGGACAATGCCACGCATATCAGCAGAGCATTTACACCTCGGTGATGATGATGGTGGGGCTCTCTTTCCGTTCTGTTTCTCTGCTGCCACACAGGAGGGCTTCCTGCGAGCGTTCGGGCCGGGGACGCCCACCTAGGAGAGGAGCCGCAGACGCCGAGCTCCGACGGGCAGCGACAGTGAAGACGAGGAGAGAGAGACAGAGAGAGACAGAGAGCGAGACAGAGAGAGACTTTGACTTTTGAAAACTTTATTTCCCCAGCGCAAATTGCGCTGGAATATTGCTGTGCCTTGTAAGCCACTCGGAAGCAACCATTTCTGCAACCAGTGACAAATTAAATGCGTTCAGTCTCAGTGACAATCACCACAAAGCGAACAGCGGCGTCAGTCCCGCACGACTGGACAAGAAACGGGGGGGGGGGGGGGGGGGGGGGGGGTCAAAACGTGTAGATCAGTGCATTCTGCACAACTGTACACAGAGCGTCTTTGGCGCACCCCCATTTCTTCAAAAAGTCACTCTCCCCCTCGGCATGACCGTAATAGGCGAACTCTAACTCGAGCCGCGCCTTTATGAGGGCCTGCACCATCGCCAGCACTCCACAGCTACCGCTGCCGCCTTCCAGCCTCCGCTTCCGGGTCGTATAGATCGCCAGTTTGGCCTGGGCGCACACAAAGTTCGCGACGTGCCGCTTGTCGCCCCCCGTCCCGGTCACTCCGTACACAAAGCCGCTCTCGCAAAACGGGGTGCCCAGTCTCCCGAACACCCCCGCCAGGAAACTGAACAGCGGGGCGAGCCTCTTGCATTTGAGGAACTGGTGGGCCAGGTCCTCCCTCAGTCCGCAAAATGCGCACGTGTCCGGAGCTCCCGGCACGGCCCGGCTGACCCACACCGCCGACGGCACAGTCCAGTGCGCTACTCTCCATTGGAGGTCGCCACATCTTTTGGCAGTGGGGGGCCGGTACATATCACGCCACTGGGGGCCAGCGTCCGTCAGGGCAGAGAAATATCCCCTCCACTTCGTGTCTGGCAGCTCCTCCAAGTCCCGGAAGTGCAGCGCCTTTACGCAGGCGGTGTAGAGCTTTTTCTTGTGGACTTCCGCCAGCGAGACACTCCTGCTGTTCTCCATCTTTAATAATTTTCCTCCTCGCGATCAGAGGGGACGGCACAGGAGAAGGTCAGCTGGGGGAAGGAGGGTCCCTCCCTGTCGCCCGACTCTCCCAGCCCCACTCCGAGTCTCTTCATCGCCCGCAGGACTTCCCGCAACAGTTTGGTCCCGGCGAGCATGGAGCGCAGCCCGGCCGCTTCTGAGAGTTCCAGAGCCGTTCTCCACCTTCGCCGGCTAGGGTCCACCAGGTCGCTGACCCTGCTCACCCCTCCGGCAACAAACCGCGCGGCCAGGGTGCGTTCCCCCTTCAGGCCCTGGAAGAGGTCGTTAGCGAGTAGCGGCTCCCGCAGAAAAAGGCTCGCATCATAGTCCGCGGGCGCCCTCTCCCATTCAAGACTACGCCAAGCATCTAGCAGGCTGCGATAATACCTCGGCAGTGGCGACTGGTCTACCAGCCCCAGGTCCGTCAGGAAGAGCTCGCGGCCGTACCCAAGCCTTCCGGCCTGTCTCAGCAAGCCGAGGGCCAGGGCCTTCCAGGGCTGCTCCTCCGGCTCATACAGCAGGCGCCTTATGTCCAGGACCCTGAACGCCATCACCCTGCTGGCGACGCTCACTAGGCCCTGGCCTCCCTCCTCCACTGGCAAACAGAGGACCCCCGGCCTCTGCCAGTGCCTTCCGTGCCAGACGAAGGCGGTGAAAGCCCTCTGTACTTTCGTCAACAGCCAGTCTGGGGGGTGGAGGACTCTGGCCTTATGCCACAGCATGGCCGCCGCCAGGTTATTAACGACGAGGACCCGTCCCCTGTACGACATTTGCGGAGCGAAACGGGCCCACGCCTGCAACCTCCCTCCAATCTTCTCCGCCACATCCTCCCAATTCCTGGCCACAGTGGCCGGGTTACCCAGGTACACCCCCAGGTAATTGGTGCCCTCCGTGCCCCACTCCACCCCCCCTGGGAGCGTCACGGCGCGCATCGTCCCCCGCGGCCCCAGACACAGCGCCTCGCACTTTGGCCAGTTCACCTTTGCGGAGGAGGCGCTCTCGTAGAGGCCGACCGCCCTGTGCACCGCCGCCACGTCTCTCGCGTCGTTGACCACCGCGCACACGTCGTCCGCGTACGCCGAGACCTTTACCGCAGCATTTTCCGTCCCAGGGATAAGGAAGCCCGACAGGGTCCGGTTCAGCGTTAATAATAGCGGCTCGATGCAGAGCGCATAGAGCAGCCCCGAGAGTGGGCATCCCTGCCTAACACCCCTCGTAACGACCAGGGGGGCACGGAGCCGATTATTCAGCTTGAGGAGGCTGGACACATTTGTGTAGAGGAGCCTCACGTACGCAATAAATCCCTGGCCAAACCCAAAAGACCTTAGCACCGCATACATGTAGTCGTGGCTGACTCGGTCAAAAGCCTTCTCTTGATAGAGAAAAAGGAGGCCGGTGTCCAGTCCATGGGTGTCTGCCAGGTCGATCACGTCTCTGACCACCCCGATGTTATCATGGATAGACCGCCCCGGGATACAGCATGTCTGTTCCGGCTGGATGATCCTCCCCGCCGCGCCCTTCAACCGGTTAACCAACGCCTTTGCGACGATCTTATAGTCCGTGCATAACACGGACACCGGCCGCCAGTTCGCTGCGAGGCGCAAGTCCCCCTTCTTGGGCAACAGGGTAACCACTGCTCTCCTGCAACTCTGCGGCAACTCCCCTTTTGCTAGACTCGCATTCAGCACCTCGACCAGGGAAGGGCCGAGCTCACCCCAAAAAGCTTTGAAGAACTCGGCTGGGAGGCCATCGATCCCAGGCACCTTCCCAGTAGCTAGGCCACTCACCGCAGCCTCCAGTTCCTGGAGGGTGATCAGCCCTTCCAGCTGTTCCATCTCGGGAGGGGTCAGTCTAGGCACACCCTCTAACAATTCCCCAAGAGCATCCCCCTGGATGCTTTCTGCAGTAAACAGATCCTGGTAAAAAGCCCTAACGACCCTAGCGATGCCCTCGTCGCTCGTGTGGACTTCACCACTCGGTGCCTGCAGGCTGGAAATAAGGTTTTTGGTGACTGGCTGCCTCTGTTGCCTGAAAAATGATTTGGTAGGCACATCCATCTTTAGCAGATGTTGCATTCTCTGATTCGCAAAGGCCTTATAGGCTTCCCGGTCTGACACAGACCTCACCAGCCGTTGCTGCTCCAAGAGCGTGCGGTAATCCGCATTAGTTTGGGGTGAGCCCAGCTCTGCTTCCAGCGCCAGCAACTCATCCCGTAACCGCTCTTCCCATTCCCGCCTAGCTGCTGCGTGCTGGCTCATAAACCGCTGGCATAGTGACCCTATCTGTACCTTCCCATTATCCCACCATTGCTGGAGCGTGTCAAAGTTGCCCTTTTGTGTTAGCCACCCCTTCCAGAAGGCCCTGAAAGCTCTCTGGAAGTCCGCATTCTCTAAGAGTTGCAGGTTAAAACGCCAGTAGGGTCTGCGGTGCCCAAGAAGGGGGAGACGCAAGCGCACCGACACCAGGTGGTGGTCGGAAAAACCGGACGGGACCACCCTGCTTTCGCCGAGCAGGTTAGCACCGTCGGCATTCACGTAGAGTCAGTCCAGCCGTGCGAGGCTAATCCGCCCTTGTGCACCACACCGGCACCACGTATATTGCCGCTGGGCCGGATGTTGCAGGTGCCACGTGTCGAGTAGGTTTAGCCTCCGTACTATGTCAGCCAATGCCTGCGCAGTCTCCGGGTGAGGCTCGGCGCCATTACGGTCGAGAGTCGGGTCGAGGGTGCAATTAAAATCACCCCCGACGATCGTGAGCACCTCGTCCGAGTCGGCTTCGTCCAGGGTGTCCCTCAGTGCGCCCGAGAAAAAGAGCCCCCTCTCGCGGCTCGCGCTCGGTGCGTACACGTTGACTACCCGCAGCCTGACGTCGCCGAGCACAAACTCGGCCGTAATCAGGTGTCCCTTCACGATCTCCCTAAAGGTCACATGGTCAGGAGTGAATTTTTTGCCGCACACAATCGCGACCCCCCCCGGTTGGCCTCCCCGTGGCTAAAGAAGAACCGGCCGCCCATGAGGTGTTGTCGTTGAGCCTGCAGCGTGGCATCGAGGTGTGTCTCCTGTAGGAGCGCCACTTCGACGTTTTGGTCGACAAGAAAACGACACATGCGTCTCCATTTCTCATCGCTTCGAGCACTATTGCAATTCAGACTCGCCACGCGGACGCCTGACGCCATTGCAATAGGGGGGGGGGGGTGGGTGCCACCGGTGGTCACTGCGGAAGGGGGGTGCACCCCTTCCTCAGTTTTTGTACAAACTTCTGCAACCGGTAGCATTTCTGCTGGCTGAAGCCGCATTTATTGGGGTCCCGTTGTATATTTTGTGCGGTGTTCAGGAAGCCCATCACATCGGGGAAGCTCGCTTGGACGCTGACTCGACGCTTCCTGAAGGACGATTGGAGGAAGCTTTGGACGGTTTCGGGTACGTACTCCTGCTCCCCTCCTACTCCCGAAAAAAACATTTCACTGGCTCCTTCGTCGTCGACGTCGGACCCCGACTGCTCTTCGTCGTCAGAGTCCCCGTGTGTGTCGGCGCGTACTCCGGCCGTCACTTCCTCCGACGACCCGGGCGGAACCGGGGTCTCGCCAGGCTCGGGGTGCTCTCCTTCTGTGGCCTCCGCGGCCCCCTCCCCGTCGCACGTCGAGGCGGGTAGAACGTCGTCGTCCCCCTCGGGTGTGACCGCCATCTCTTCCATTGCGCTGCAAGGAGCCGGGGTCTCACCCTGCTCGGGGCGTGCCTCGTCCGCGGGATCCGTGGTCGTCGCCCCGCCGAGCGATGGGGCGGTCCCCTCGGGTGGCGCTGCGCCCTCAGGCGCGACAGTGGCCCGCAGTCGCTCCTCTGCTCGTGCCGGTGCGGCCGCGGCTGGGTCCGGTGGTCGTCCCTCTGCCTCGGTCGCATCCGGCGGGTGGTTTTGGCCGCCGGCGGCGGCGGCGGCTGTGCTCACCGTGTTCTCCGCCGTGCCCTCACTGCCGCTCCCTGCCGCCCCTTCTGGGCAGCCGTCCGGCTCGGTGGTGCCGCCAGCGGTGCCCGCCCGCTTTGGAAAGGTGCCGTCGCACCCCCCCTCTGCTCGGCTGGCTTTGGCTTTTCGCTTTCATGACCTAACTAGCACGAAGCCATCTTTGTCGCCTTCAGGCGCCGGCTCTGCGCGGCCAGGCGCAGGGTCAGCGCGTTCCTGCTGCTGTTGCTGTTGCTGCTGTGGTTGTGGTTGTTGCTGCTGCTGCTGTTGCTGCTGCTGTTGTTGTTGCTGCTGCCGTTGTTGTGGTTGTTGCTGCTGCTGCTGCTGTTGTTGCTGCTGCTGCTGCCGCTGCTCAGCGTGCGCCGGCACGGGTGGAGCAACGTTCTCCTTGCCCTTGGTCGGGCAGCTCCTCCGGGTGTGGCCGACGCCGCCGCAGCCGAAGCAACGCTGTACAGCCGTGGAGGCGTATATGGTGTAAACGTGTCCCTCGATGGTATACTTCAGGGTCACGTTGAGTTCTGTATTGCCGTCCTTCAATATCATAAATGTCTGTCGCCGCAGCGACATTACATGTGCCATCCTCGTGTCCCTCGTCCGCAATGGCAACATGATGACGCGGGACACTACGGTGCCTAAGCGGAGGAGGTCCCGCTGCAGGTCCGCACATTTCAGGAATGGCGGCGCGCCGGAGAGGAGCACCTTCACGGCAGGCGAGGAGAGGGGGGTGCACTGTAAAAACAGCTCCCCCCCCACGTCCAGCTCCGTCTCTGCAAGGCGCGCCACCATGGCCTCCTCCGCCGTATAAAGGACGACCCCGTGATTTTCCCGTTCGCTAACGAGGATGCCCGCCATGCCAATGACCTCAGCCGCCGCCGCGACGACGGCCTCAACGGTGATCTCGGGCGGGGGGAACACCATCACGCCGTTCCTTCGCGAGAGGGTTTAAAGCTTGGGGTACTGTGCCATGATGCTTGGCGACAGCACCCTAGCGTGCAAAACGCGGCTGCACTACCCCAAATAAATTGGAGGGGAAAATAAATAAATAAATGCACAAAAAATCATAAAGACCCACCTAAACCCACAAGACCCGTGAAACCAAGGAGGAACTCACTAGAAAGAAAGAGTGAGAAAAAAGAACAAAGGAAACCCACACGAGAGAAAGAGAGAGTGCTGCGAGTGAGTGAGTGAGACCAGGGAGAGAGACACAGAGAGAGAGCACACAGACACGGGGGGGGGGGGGGGGCGCAGAGAGAGAGACACGGAGGGGGGAGAGAGACACAGAGAGATGGACACGGGGGAGGGACACACAGATAGAGACACGGAGAGGGAGAGAGACACAGAGAGAGACACAGAGATAGACACGGGGGGGGGGGGTACACAGAGAGAGATACACGGAGGGGGGGAGAGACACAGAGAGAGAGACACACAGAGACAAACACCGAGAGGGACTCAGAAGGAGAGAGACAGAGAGAGAGACACAGAAAAACAGAGAGACACAGAAAGAGAGACACACCGAGAGAGAGGGGGGTGAGAGAGGCAGCCACAGCAGGCCCAAGGCTGCTCGTGGTGCCGTAGGGATGGAAGAAAAACACACAAAACAAATAAAACCAGCACCACGTGAAAGAAACGGAGAACTCACAGTGAAGGAAGAGAAGGATGTTGAACACGACGACTCAATAAACGAAAAAAAAAGCGGGGTAAAGCGTCTATAAACGCGTGGGCACTCTCTCAGCCTAGGCTCAGGCTATCACGTGAGCCCAGGCCTCCATCCACACCAACGTTGGAGCGGGAGCAACAGGTTCGTGCGGCCGCACCCAAACAGGTGGAGAGAGAGAGAGAGAGACACGGAGAGAACGCTTCACGAATTTGGGTGTCATCCTTGCGCAGGGGCCATGCTAATCTTCTCTGTATCGTTCCAATTTTAGTATATGTACGGCCGGATCAGAGAGAGAGAGAGAGACACGGAGAGAGAGACACGGAGAGAGAGACACGGAGAGAGAGAGACACGGAGAGAGAGACACTGAGAGAGAGACACGGAGAGAGAGACACGGAGAGAGAGACACGGAGAGAGAGACACGGAGAGAGAGAGACACGGAGAGAGAGAGACTGAGAGAGAGACACGGAGAGAGAGAGAGACACGGAGAGAGAGAAACACGGAGAGAGAGACACGGAGAGAGAGACACGGAGAGAGATACACGAAGAGTGAGAGATAGACAGCCATTGATTGAGTTTCACGGTTTTTTCCAAAAACATTTATTGGAAGAAGGCACCTAGGCACAGGTAAAACAGATAAAAATGTCACAGGTAAAACTGGTAAAGGAAGAAAAAATGGCACGAGTGATCAATTCTGGAGAGAAAGAAGGCACAATGAAACAGGTTCGGGGTTTGGGATGAATCAACTCTTTCATTCATATCTGTATACAACCGTCAGTACAGTACTTATAACTGTTAGCACACCACTTTTAACTGTTAGTAGAGTCCTGTTTCATCGTGAAATGTTTGTGTCCCGGTGTCCACGTGTGCCATTTGTTCCCGTGCCATGTTTACCAAATGTCGGCTACTTACACCCCTCGCCTCGGTGTCTCCGCACACGAGCATCGAAGCCGACAACTCTCGTCCAGCACGAGAGACCCTGGGCTCGACGCGAGCGCTGTTGCCAAATCGCTTCGAAGTCTCGTGCTCGGCCCAGACCACAACTGCGCCGTGTTCACGTTCCATTCCTTCTCCATGCCCACGCAGCGGAGGCCCCTCTGGCTATTGCCAGTTGCCCGCGGGTGGGCGAGGCGCAGCGCGTGCAAGATGTCACGCCTCTGTCCCGCTCATGTTCCAGTGTCTGTTCGGGAAATCGAACTCGGCTCTCCGGGTCCAGAACGCAAATGCGCTGAAACCGCGGCGCCACCGCTCCACCGGGCGAGCGTCAATGACGCCTGAACACTTGAAACAGGTTTCTGTGTAGAGCGGTCTCCATCGTGGAGAGGAGCGGTGGTACGGGTGCGGGTATCCATTTGCGACCCTGGTGCGGCCGGGTACGGGTACGGGTAAGGAATCAAAACCCGTTTGCGACCTCTGTCTCTCGTACGTCAACAGCCCGGACAGGTGAGAGCCTCAACAGGTGCACATCGAGCTGCCGATTGAAGGTGGATTGTGCTTGGCTATCAGAATTGTAATATTTATAAACACTGGCGGGATTCTACGAGCTGTCAAGCTCTCTCTTGGTAGCTCTCTGGGGCACGTCAGAAAGTTACAACAACAAAATCAAAACACGATTGGGCTCGCCGCTAAAACGAATCCATCATCAGGTGTGGTTTTCACCACACCTGGTGATGATTATTATTTTGATGATCGAACTTTCCCGGAGGAGCTGTAACAGTTAAAAACGATACGGACCAATGGCTCAACGTCGATTGTGAAGGCTCATGAAACACACGCGGGATCACGTGCGTGAGATATCGATGGCTTTGTGAACCCCCCCCCCACACAGCAGTCAGCGCACTGTGACCAGGGATCTGACCCGAGTCAGATCCCTGGTCACGGACAGCGTCAGTGGCGAGTGGTGTCCGAACAGGACCTGGGAATTCACCGTTTACCAACACGAACCGACCGGCACCTCCACCAGCCACCACCGCCGATATCCATCGGCTCCGGTCCCCGCGGCACCGGCGCCGATGCCGCGGATCTCGGACGGATGTGGCACCAATCGCCGGCGGCAATCGAACACCGACGAGCCGCCCGCAACCTCCTCCCGTTCCGTTAGTTGGCGTCCACCGCCCGACACGTCCGGCTCGGAGCTGGCGCCTTCCCCGCCGGCGCCCCGGCAAGCGGAAGCGCTGCCGCACGAGCTCCACGCCCTCGCGCAGCCGGTGCCCCTTGGGCGACGACGACCGAGCTGCGTTCCTCGGGTGCCGTCGGTGGTCGGAGGAGGCGCTGTCGCCGTCGTCGCCGTGGCCGCCCCGCAGGTCCGCCGACTTGTGCAGGGAGCCGGCCCAGCTGCCGTGGCCGAGCTTGCAGATGCGCGCCTTCCGCTGCTGGTACCGGGGCCCGCCCAGCTCGCCCGGCCGCCAGCCCAGGGCGCCGGCCGTTGGCTCGGCCGCCGCGCTCCACCGGCCGGCGCCGCGCTGCGGGCGCAGGTCCGTGGAGATGGAGGTCAGGGCGCGGCGCTGGAACTCGTGCTCCCCGTTGGTGGACTGCTGCTGCTGCTGCTGCAGGTTTGGCGATTTCCCGCGACGATCGCCGGCGCCAGGATGGACGTGGGGGCCAGACGCTCTCCACCGCCGCTCGGCATCGTCACCGCCGTCATGGCCGTCGTCGTCATCGTCGTCGTGGTGGCGGCGCGAGGTGTCATAGTGAGCGATGGACGCGGGCCGCACCAGCGCGGGCAGCGCACCGCCGCCGCCGCCCACCGCCGAGCCCACCGCGCCGCCCGCCCCGCCGCCGACACCGTACGCCGTGGCCGCCGGGACGGGCACTGCTGGTTCATACCGCACGCTCAGGTTGGCGCGGGCAGCCTCCGCCTTCCTCTCGCGCCTCTGCAGCAGCGCGATGTAGGCGGTCGCCTTGTCGGCGCCGAGTGGCGCCGCTACGGTCGCGGTCACCTCGTCGTCCGCGCCGGCGTCGTCGTGGCGACGGTGGCGGCGGGCGCCATCGCTCATCGGAGGAGGTTTTCCGTCGGGCGACGCGGCGGCGTCGCGGTCGTCGCCGGCGCCTCGCCGGTGCAGGAATGCGGAGCTCTGCATGGCGACGGCGTGCAGCGGGCTCGGGTAGCGGTACACCTCGGAGCTGTCCCGCGAGCGCAGGTCGCAGTGGAAATGCGGGTCGGGGTCACGACCCGGGGCGGAGGTCACGGGGTCGGCGAGCCCGACCGGGGACGTCCGCGCGTCTGAGCCGCCGCCGAGGTCGTCTGCGGAACGAGAGGAAGGAAGATGAGATGCGGAACGCGGATGAGGTGGAGCCGCGCCGGTTGTCTGTGCGGTGGTGGTGGCGGCGAGATGATCACGAGCCACTTCTGAGACCACTTCAAGTGGTCTCCGGTCCGAAGGATCGAAGAACTCACACGACAACTGAGGCCTACGTGGCCCGGCTTTCGGTGGTCGAGAGCCCCAGGGCTTGAGAAGGCGACGGTGATTACGTCAATAAACAAATAAACATTCAGCGTCTTCAGTGATGGTGGACTGGGACTAACATCGGCCCGGCCATTCGTAAACACACCGGGCCAAATTCGGGATACGGGCAGTTATTTAAGTTTATGATAATATTTTTTTTACCCTTTTATCTGGCAACAAAACTGACACCTTTTTCACAAGGAGTCATGTTGCATAGACAACAATACCTGCAGTCGTAATGCAAACAAAAACATAACTCTGATAATGTATGCACTGTACCTTTTATCTGACAAGTTTTGTTGCCACATAAAAGGGTAAAAAAACAATTATCATATTTTTCTACTGGCAAATGAGGTCCCAATGGCATTTAAGTTGAGTTCAATAGTTGTGTGACAAACTGTGCGGCACTCGTAGCTCGCCGTTGTGATGTGGCGACGCGCAATCTAGTTGGCCCATCGTGAGCTGGATCCAAAAAACACCAAACTGGGCCAGTGAGGAAAAATCTTTGGGGCTGCCGAACATACGGGAGGCGTCATGGCGACTGAGAGCGCAAAACAGCAACGAAGGGCACACATCTTCTTGGTTCTTTCGGTAAAGTCACGTAGAAGGAAGTAATAAAATAATAAAAATAAAACATAATCAAATAATTCTCACGACGTTTCGGCCACAACGCAAGTATCCGTCCTCAGGTGAAGACCAGGTCTGTCGAGAAGACAGAGTCTGTTTCTTCACCTGAGGACGGCTGCTTGCATTGTGGCCGAAACGTCGTGAGAATTGTTTTATTATGTTTTATTTTTATTATTTTAGTATTTCCCTTCTACGTGACTTTACCGAGAGAACCAAGAAGATGAGTCCCTGCAGTCACGAAAGAAGCTTTAAATCGAAAACCGCAGGGCACACAGACGCTCAGCTCAGCCCACGTCAACGCCCCGCGCTCGGCGCTCACCGGACTTGTCTCTGCTGCTGTGCATGTGCAGCTCGCTCAGAGGCCGCTCCACAGTGCACCGCTTCCCCACTCCACACTGCGGGGAGGCGGGACGCGCACACGCGCACACACGCACACGCGCCACACACACGCGCACACGCGCACACACGCACGCACACGCACGCACACACGTGCACACACACGCGCACACGCACACACGCACGCACACGCACACACACGCACGCGCACGCACGCGCACACTCGCACACGCACACACGCGCACACGCACGCACACGCACACGCACACACACACCCACACACACTCACACGCACACACGCGCACACGCGCACACACGCACACACACACACGCACACGCACGCACACACACGCACACAAACACATGCACACACACGCACACACACGGACGGGCACACGCAGACACGGACGGGCGGGCGGACAGCTGCTGGGTTAATTCCATACCTGGTGGTGGGCAGCTAAACGCGAAGTGAGGTCAAGTTTGAAACTTTTCTGTACCAAGCGCTGTTTGCCGGCAAACACAACCGGATAAAGATCCCCCCCCCCCCCCCCGTGTAGCCTTTATCAGACAGTCGGGTGCAAGTGCTGTTGGCGAGTAGCACCTATGAAGGCCGACACGGCACACGAGGGGTGGCCAGCGCCACGTCCGGCCGGCCACCTTTGTGTCTCCGAGACCGAGGTTAAACACAGCCCCAACAGGTACCCATTTAAGGCTGAGTCGACCTAGGGGAGGCCCAGGACCACCGCTCCGGAGGAGGAATCACGAAGCCTCTCACCCCGCGTGGAGCGTCAGGCCCCGTTGCATTGGAATAGCGTAGCAGCCGCCATTCTTCCATCATTAATTGTAATAAAGATGCAAGTTAATTCATTGCTTTTTCATTTATTTGATTTCGATTTAAACCTTTCGTGACTGCAGGATTCATATTCTTGGTTCTTTCGATAAAGTCACGTAGAAGGGAAATCATCACCTAATGATGATTGCTTGTGTTGCAGTCGAAACGTCGTGAGAATTTTTATTGTTTTATATTTATATTATTTTATTTTTTCCCTTCTACGTGACTTTACCGAAAGAACCATGAATATTATTTGATTTCATTTAACATTTTTATTTGTTTTACCAGGTAAGCCTCTTTGACAGAAACGACCTGGCCACAACTGATAGCTCGACGCAGTCTCGCCTCTCCATCACGTGCAAATGTAGCGGCGAGGCAAATCCGCTAAAGGCGTGCTCCTAAATGTGGAGGGAAAAAAACAGAGGACGCGGAGATAAATCCACGCGACCACATAAACTCCAAATACGCAGCATATATTTACGCAATCTAACCCCCCCCAAAAAAACCTGTATTGTGGATGATATTGGGTCGCGAAAGCCTGCCACGTGTTAAGCCGACTTAAGCCGTGGTTCCGTTTAATGTCGTCGCGGTCCGCACCGCCGATGAACACGGTTGGCCACGTAGGTTGCTAAATTAACGATACAAGCCGCAAATAGTCCCACCGTGGCCACGCGACCCAAGCTACGGACCGCAGAGTGAACCCACAGAGACACACGGTGGCAGGCAGAGTCTCGTATACAGAGATGCACAGAGACTCGTCGAGATAAATACACGCGGAGATGTCTTCAAGAGAAGCCACAGCGTTGAGGTAGCCACGCGACCCAAGCTACGGACCGCAGAGTTAACCCACAGAGACACACGGTGGCAGGCAGAGTCTCGTATACAGAGATGCACAGAGACTCGTCGAGATAAATACACACGGAGATGTCTTCAAGAGAAGCCACAGCGTTGAGGTAGCCACGCGACCCAAGCTACGGACCGCAGAGTTAACCCGCTGCGCTCCTTCAACAGAGGAGGTGGAAACAGCGACACGACACAAACGTTCTCTTCTCTCTCTGCTGAAGCCCTTTCGTCGTGTCCAGCAGCAGACATTGGTTGGCATCGAGCGCAACACGCGCGCACGCTCACGTCAATGCCATATGCGTGCCCCCTCTCTCTCCTCTCACACTCGCCCCTGTAGGAGCCCGGCCTTCCTTCCAAACACGACCTTCCTACACGACCTTCCAAGGGAGAGCGGTGGCGCAGCGGTTGGCGCAACTGCGCTGTACGAATCCACTCACCCGAGTTGGGATTCCTGGCCCGCAGACGTCATCTGAACTGGTAGAGTGCGCTAAGCACTGCGCCACCACTCCCATTGTATCCTCTGCACAAACATGACAACAACTCTACAAGAGACTAAGATCCCCCGTATAGCCTTAACAGACTGTAGGGTGCTGTTAGCGAGCACCTATGAAGGCCGGCACGGTACACGAGGGGGTGGGTGGCCAGCACCACGCCCGGGCGCCTTTGTATCCCCAGTGGCGATGTTCACACACCGCACCAGGTACTCATTTGAGGCTGAGTCGACCTAGGTGAGGCCCAGGACCGGTTCTGACACGACACGCAACACCGCACACACGTCACGACACGCGTGCGCGCACGGCCCTCTCTCATTCTCTCTTCCCGACTCGCTCGCTCCACTCACTCACCGGCTGATCCTCCTCCGGATCATCATCCGCCTTCCCGTCCGACCGTCCTGGGCCCCGGCCATAGCACCGCCGCTGCTGCTGTTGCTGCTTCTGTTGCTGCTGCTGCAGCTGCTGCTGCTGCTGTTGCTGTTGCTGCTGCTGTTGCTGCTGCTGCTGCGGGGGCGGTGGTGGCAGGGCGAGCGCCTGTCGCACCGTCGCCTCGTGCTGCTCCCGCAGGAGCCGCAGTTCCCGCAGAGCCGCGACGCTCAACTCCAGCCGCTCGCGAATTCTCTCCGGCGGAGCGGACACGCAGAGTGCCTTGGGCATGGTGGTGGTGGTGGTGGTGATGGTGGTGGTGGAGGTGGTGGTGGAGGTGGTGGTGATGGTGATAGTGATGGTGGTGATGGTGGTGGTGGAGGTGGTGGTGGTGGTGGAGGTGGTGGTTGTGGTGGTGATGGTGGTGGTAATGGTGGTGATGATGGTGCTGGTGGAGGTGATGGTGGTGATGGTGCTGGTGGTGATGGTGATGCTGCTAATATCGATGAATGTCCGTGTACACACGCGCACTGGAGGAGCAGCAGGAGAGGGGAGGGAAGAGCCACCGACTCCCGACAGAGCCACTGCTGCTGCTGTAGTAGTTGTAGTAGTAGTAGCTGTAGTTGTAGTAGCAGTAATAGTTGTAGTAGCTGTAGTTGTAGTGGTTGTAGTAGTAGTAGTGTACGTGACGCGGTGTCGTGGTGGGGTGAGTGGGTCAGGCTCAGGGGGGTTTGTTGGGAGGTGCTGAGGGCTGGTGGGTGGGGGTCAGCCAGCCGGTCACTGGCGTCCCCCCCCCCCCCCCCCCACCTGGTGAACATCGCTCATTGGGCAGCAGCTGCCCCCTCCGTCTCCTCCCATTGGCAGACGCCTCTCCCCCTCCATCCCTCGCCCTTCCACCTCCCTCCCCCACCTCCCCCTCCCTCCCCCACCTCCCTCCCCCACCTCCCCCTCCCACCTCCCCCTCCCACCTCCCCCTCCCTCCCCCTCCCTCCTCCTCCTCCCTCCCCCTCACCCCCCCCCTACCTCCCCCTCACACCTCCCCCTCCCCTCCCACCTCCCCCTCCCTCCCCTCCCTCTCCCACCTCCCACCTCCCCTCCCTCCCCCTCCCACCTGTGTGTACACACACGTGTGTGTGTGAGTCTATGTATGTGTGTGTGAGTCCATATGTGTGTGTAACTCCATGTATGTGTCTAAAGTCGATGTCTGTCTGTGTGAGTCCATGTATGTGTGTCTAAAGTCGATGTCTGTCTGTGTGAGTCCATGTATGTGTGTCTAAAGTCGA